ATGCACAGACCCTATGAAGATAGAACAACAAACGTGTGTGTGTGTGTGTGTGTGTGTGTGTGTGTGTGTGGGTGTGTGTGTGTGTGTGTGTGTGTGTGCGTGCGTGCGTCCGTGCGTGCGTGCGTGCGTGCGCGGGAGGTGTGGAGCGGAGCCCGTGAGCAGAGTGCAGTGTTAGGAGAGATAGAGACTGTTGTGTCGGCGGGCGACTGTTATGGTTGATACTGCTGGATTCATTTTTTTATTGAACATGATGGAAACTTTTTGTTTCAGCGGGCAACCACTCCCCCTCCCCCTCGAACGATTGGTCGCACCAGTGCGACCGAACATTTTTTTTTAGTCACACTATTAGGAAATTAGGTCACATTTGCGACCAAATTGGTTGCACTCTAGAGCCCTGCAACTGTGCAAGTTCTCCCACTTAAAAAGATGGGAAAGGCCTGTAAATGACATCATAGTTAGGCCCCAACTATCAGAGACAAAATGAGAAAACATATCTAGAAAATCACATTGTCTGATTTTTTTAGAATTTATTTGCAAAATATGGTGGAAAATAAGTATTTGGTCACCTACAAACAAGCAAGATTTCTGGCTGTCACAGACCTGTAACTTCTTTTTTAAGAGGCTCCTCTTTCCCCCACTCATTACCTGTATTAATGGCACCTGTTTGAAGTCGTTAACAGTATAAAAGACACCTGCCCACAACCTCAAACAATCACACTCSAAACTCCACTCTGATGAAGACCAAAGAGCTGTGTAAGGACACCAGAAWCAAAACTGTAGACCTGCACCATGCTGGTAAGACTGAATCTGCAATAGGCAAGCAGCTTGATGTGAAGARATCGACTGTGGGAGTAACAATTAGAGAATGGAAGACCTACAAGACCACTGATAATCTCCCTTGATCAGGGTCTCCACGGAAGATCTCTCCCGTCAAAATGAGGGGTCAAAATGATCACAAGAACGGTGAGCAAAGATCCCAGAACCACACGGGGACCTAGTGAACAACCTGCAGAAGGCTGGGACTAACATAACAAAGGCTATGGTCAGTAACACACTACGCTGCCAGAGACTCAGATCYTGCAGTGCCAGACGTGTCCCGCTGCTCAAGCCAGTACATATCTGGGCCCATCTGAAGTTTGCTAGAGAGCATTTGGATGTTCCAGAAGAGTATTAGGAGAATGTCATATGGTCAGATGAAGCCAAAGTAGAACTGTTTGGTAAAAACACAACTCGTCGTGTTTGGAGGTGAGTGAATGCTGAGTTGCATCAAAAGAACACCATACCTGCTGTGAAGCATGGGGGTGGCAAATCATGTTTTGGGGCTGCTTCTCTGCAAAGGGACCAGGACGACTGGTCCGTGTAMATGAAAGAATGAATGGGGCCATGTATTGTGAAATTTTGAATGCAAACCTCCTTCCATCAGCAAGGGCATTGAAAATGAAATGTGGCTGTGTCTTTCAGCATGACAATGATCCCAAGCACACTGCCAGGGCAACAAAGCAGTGGCTTCATAAGAAACATTTCAAGGTCTTGGATTGGCCTGGCCRGTCTCCAGATCTCACCCCCTTGAAAACCTTTGGAGGGAGTTGAAAGTCCATGTTGCCCAGAGACAGCCCCAAAACATCACTGCTCTAGAGGAGATCTGTGTGCAGGAATGGGCCAACATACCAGCAACAGTGTGTGCCAACCTTGTGAAGACTTACAGGAAACGTTTGACCTCTGTCATTTCCAACAAAGCATATATAATAAAGTATTGGCATTAATGTCCTTGTCACGTTAGACAGCTTATGATAACTTATGAAACATTTTTTATGTCTAATTTGCTAATAAAAGTTATATATTTGATCAGTTTGTTCAAATTACATTATGCACATGCCTGATAAAAGCTTACAGTTGATTTTTTTCAATTCCATCTTCAAGTTGGTATAAGTTGTCTAGTGTGACAGAGCCTTAGCTTTTGTTATTGACCAAATACTTATTTTTCACCATAATTGGCAAAAAAATTTAAAAAAACCAATGTGATTTTTTAAAAATATTTTCTCATTTTGTCTCTCATAGTTGAGGTCTAACTATGATGTCAATTGCAGGCCTCTCTCATCTTTTTAAATGAGAGAACTTGAACATTTGGTGGCTGACTAAATAATTTCCCTCAAAGAGACAGACAGACACACACACAAACATAAACACATCTTTTTGCCTTTATTGACAGGCAACACAAGGCAGAGTCATCCTTATTTCTACCATTTAACAGGAACCAGTGCTATGCTGTAGTTATATTACCTAAAGAAGGAAACAACCTACATGTTAAAAGTATTGGAGTGTTTTGTTGCAGTTTGCATCTCAGAAACATTTGGACCGAGATGCATGTATGTGATGACACATGCTCGCTCCAGAACACACACATACACAAATAAACACTAAGCTCCAGTCTTGTTTAATGCAGGGATAAACATGGATTGATTTGTGTGAATAGCTGCCAAGTGGACACAGTGGAGGACTGTACGTGGATCTCTCAGCTTTAGTTGAGCTTTAGCGTCTGTGTCTCCTAATAAAAGGCAGACTGCAAAGCAGTATCACAACAGTTTTAGAAATAACACTCCCACATTTAGTCTCTACACCCCCCCCCCCCAAAAACAGGAGACAATTCAGTTGGGCAGCCCATATTCCGCAGTCTCTGTGCAAGGGGCAGGGTACATCCTGAACAAGTCACAAGTTCATCACAGGGCCACGTAGAGACAACTGACACCTAGGGACAATTAAAAGTTGCCATTTAACCTAACAGTCTCTATGTCTCTCCTATGTTTTTGGTCTGTGGGGGGAAACAGGAATATCCAGAGAAAACCCACATCTTCACACTCTACCCATAAAGGCCCTGGCCAGAATTCGATCCAATAACCTTCTTGCTGAGAGGCAACAACTCTACCAACTGAGCCATCGTGCCACCAGTTTCCTCCCACAGACCAAAAACATGCGGTTCCTTTCAGATCCAGACCTCCCTTGCAACAGAGATTTGTGATGGGATTTGCAAGGCTGAACAAAAGTTAATAAATAAAAATTGTATTGTTTTTGTGTGTGTTTTTGTTTGTTATCAAAATAGGACATTACTGCCCCGAAAGTAACCGCTGAACACGACACATGAAGACATGCTACTTTCATCTTTTCCAAACATCTGTTTATTTCAGCTGCAATTTTTTATTGTATAAGCAGTTTCCAGCAAATTTAAAAATAAGGGGCCGGAATTGAATTAGTAGGTTTGATTGAAATACTCAATTTGCCTCTTCTTGTTTGTCTCATACCCCACCCCACCCCCTTCACACACACACACACACCACCATCCCCTTTGGTTTCAGCATCCTGGGGATGCATCTGTTTGGTTGTAAGTTTGGCTCAGAACGAGATGGAGACACCCTGCCAGACAGAAAAAACTTTGACTCTCTCCTGTGGGCCATAGTGACTGTGTTTCAGGTAGGCATGAATCTTTTATTTTTTCCCTACTGCTGTTTCTGTTAAATGCTTAGTTTAAACCACAGATATTTACATTGCAATGTTATGGAACAAAATATAAATGCATATGATATGAATGTAAATTTCTGCACATTTATTCACAATTTCATCCCTGAACATAATTTGTATTCAGCTTTTACAAGTTGAACAGTCTTTAGAATGCTATTCTAACTGTGCTGTGCTAACTTGTTTATCAAATTATTTTTTATGTATAAAGTGCATTTTTTCTATGCACTCATCCTTTCAAACCAGCCTTTTTATAAATCTTGTCCTTTTTTGAAAATTGTTTTATCAAGTTGTTGTTTTTTTCTGTCAAAAATACATTCAGGATAATGGTGTTCCCTTTTGTCACTCAACCATCAATACAGGCCTTTCACTACTGTATTCTGATGGGACTGAGCCACTGATGGAACATAAWATCATAAAAAAATGCAGGGTCTAATAACATGTTTGGCTTGTTAGCATTCTGCCTGATTGAAAAGGACTCATTCAGCACCAAAATCGTTTTTTTAACAAAAATAGAATTTGTTTGTGTGGTCATTATTCTGATGCCCACGATGTAGATCCTGCTGGCAGTCAGAATTTAGCCTAACTCCCTAATCTCTAGTCTAACGGTATTGGGAGTCTAACTCCCAATCCGTAAAACATGTCATGTTTTACAGATTGTCCATAATTTATATGGATTTTCCAGCATTTTGCAGGTATATGGATGTATAATTTACATAGGATTTTTTCAAGTTTTATGGATTTTTTCAAAACCTCAGCTTCAAATTTATTTAACATGTCAAAGCCTATAGGACGTAAAAAAAAAACAATAAAGAACATCAAATAACCAACTTCCAACCTGTTCTGCCTCTAGAAATAACCCCCCCCCCACACACACACACACACACAC